ACTGCGACACAAGTCAACCGCACTAGTTGTATATAAATTTAATTCACTGTCCTGACGGGTATGTACACACTCAGAGGGTGTGCGCATGAGCGGCCAACTAGCGTCGCAACTGCACGGCCGTCCAACTTCAACTGCAATGTTGAAGATGTTGAGATGGTGCTTCTATGCTTCCGATAGGCTTCACCGCTACCGCAGCTTGCGTTGGCACAAACACAACTCGAACGTTCTCACTTATGCAGACAATATTGTGTGCACTCGCTGTATCAAGGACGCCCGATACGTTCATTCGCGCTTGGATACCAAACAGCAAACTCCACAGCTGGCACGAAGGAGTATCTTTTATCCCACGCGCTAAGTTCTTTTCTCTGGGGCATTTCAAAATCACCCGTCGCGCATGCAGTGGTCCCTTCTTGCGTCAATCACGGCAGTCGCCGCAGCGCAAAATGCTACAGCGTACAACGACCTGGATGCGCGCGCTGAAGCCATCATTACGGCCATGGTACGTCATCACCTTCAACCGCCGTGGGCTGCAATATCTCAGTAGACGCCGCATCAGTGGATCGCTCAAATGGCCCAGATCAACATTGGCTACATCACGTACCCGGACGGCTCGCTGAACGAAGCCGCGGTCGCCCAGTGCGCGCGCATCGGCGTCGGCGCGTTCCTGAACGGGTTCCTGAACGTCCATCAATGGCGCGCAATGATCTCGCGCATCCAAGCCATTTACGCCCAGCACCACGTCGCGCCTGTCCTCTACGGCCTCGACAGTCTGCACGGCGCCAACTACGTGCACGGTGCGGTCATGGGCCCACAGCAAATCAACAACGGCGCAACGTTCAACCCATCGCTTGTCTCGGGCTTTGGCGCCATCACCGCCCGCGACTTGGCGGCAGCCGGCGTCAACTGGGCGCTCGCACCGGGTCTCGATATCGCGCAACACAAACGCTGGCCGCGCGTGTACGAGACGTTTGGCGAGGACCCGTACTTGACGTCGGAGCTCGGTGTCGCCGCGGTCCACGGCATCCAGTCGGTGCGCAGCGTGGCAGCGACGTTCAAGCACTTTGGCGCATACGGCGCGTCGGCCACGGGCGACGACCTCGGAACTGCCTTTGTCTCCGAGTACGAGCTGCTCAATTACTACACGCCGTCGTTCACGGCGGCGATCCGCGCCGGCATTCGCTCGGGCATGACAGGGTACGCGTCGATCAACGATGTGCCCATGGTTGTCAACGAAAAGATGACGGTGGATTTACTGCGACACGACATGGGCTTTGACGGTGTGCTCGTCACCGACTGGGAAGACATTTACCATCTCAACTTTGTGCATCACTTGGTCAACTCCAACATGGAGGCGGTCCGCGTCGCCATGACCAAGTCATCCGTGGACGTGAGCATGGTGCCGTACGACGCGAGCTTTGTTGGGTACGCCGAGTCGCTGCTCAAGGCCGGGAAGCTTCCGGCATCGCGCTTCCGCGCGTCCGCCAAGCGCGTCATCAAGTACGAAGACTCTCAATTTCGGCAACCCTAACCTCCGCGCGCGTGTAGAATGAAGCTCCAGCTAGGGTTATTTGACGCGCCCATGCACGGCGCCGACGACGTGGCACGCGTCGGTAGCAACGAAGACCGTGACGCGGCGCTCGCCATCGCGCGTGAGTCTATCGTGCTTCTCCAGAACAGAGAGAACGTGCTCCCACTGTGGAACGAGCCGCGTCTCTTCTTGACGGGGCCGTCGGTTGACAACATTGGCTACCTCTGCGGCGGCTGGACGTGGGAGTGGCAAGGCCGCAGCGACAACAGCGTGTTTGCCGGTAGTCAGTCGATCCGTGCGGCGTTCGCCTCGCTGTACAAGGACCCATCCCGCCTTTCGTTCCTTCCGGTGCCTTGTCGATATTGTGATATTTTTGCTACAGCTCTATACTAGGGCATTGACATTCAAGGCAGCCATGTTGGAAATTATTCCAGCGCGTTGGACAAAGCACGTGCAGCGGAGTACGCGGTCATCGTCGTGGGTGAGGCGCCGTACGCGGAGAGCTTTGGCAATATCAAGGACGCCACGTTGCCGGCCGGGCAGCTCCAGTACATTCGCGACATTGCCTCCACCGGCACCAAAGTCATCCTCGTGCTCGTCGAAGGTCGCCCGCGCCTCCTCAACGGTGTCGCCGACGTCGTCCACGCTGTCATTGACGCGATGCTGCCGTGCCACATGGGCGGCCAGGCCATCGCCGAGATCATCCTCGGCCTCACCAACCCCAGCGGCCGTCTCAGCATGACGTACCCCAAGGACCAGACCAAAGACAACATGGTGACGCCGTACTTCCAGCGCAAGAACGGCGTGTGCGTGCTCACGGGCGCGGCGTGTCCCGCCGAGTGGGAGTTTGGCACCGGTCTGAGCTACACGACGTTCAGCTACACCAACTTTGCGCTCAGCGCCAACCAGCTCAACACATCGGCCGAGTCGCTGACGGCGAGCGTCGTCGTGACCAACACAGGCACAATGGCCGGGAAGGAAGCGGTCTTGCTCTTTCTGAGCCAAGGTGCGCGTACGTCCGGGACGCCCGAGACCAAGATGCTCAAGAAGTTTACCAAAGTGTCGCTCTCGCCCGGGCAGTCGACGACGGTGACGTTCTCGATTGGCTTCAACGACTTTGCGATCTACAACGGTGGCATTGGGTCGGGCTTGCTCAAGTCGGCTGAGGCAGGTGCCTACTACGTGGGCGTCAAGCCCGAGACGGTTTGCGACGCCAATACGATTGGGACGCTCTGCCAGGCCTTTGCGTACGCACCAAAGACGTTGCTGGCCCAGGTGTTCCACTTGCACGACCGGTCCAGTGAGTCGGCCAGCGTTGTCGCCGGCCATGGCCACGCCCTTACGATACCCGAGCGGCTCGTGGGCCTGCTTGGCAACTTGCCGAGCGTCAACAATTGGGTGCTTGACGCCGTGCACAACACGCTCTCGATTGTGGGCTCGGGGCTGTGCCTGGGCCTCGGCGCCGAGGGCCTTGGGCTTGGCGACTGCTCGACACCGACAAAGCACCAGCAGTGGCGCCACGATGCCGCCACTGGCCAGCTCCGCCACCTCGCGCAGGTCGATCACTGTCTTCATGCCACAGACAACGACCTCGTCCTCGCCGCGTGCCACGTCACGACGTGAATAAGTGTGGCCAACACTGAATGTTGTAATTTGCAACGAACATGAGCAATACTCTGTGTGCTAGTTTGCTACTGTAGCAGGATCCACACCGCCGTCGAGAGAACATGCGTGTTGTGCGAACGCTTCCCCCTGGAAGAAGACGAAGGGTGGGACTATCATGCGAAATTGTGTATCCTAGTATTATCCTCGGTGACGACGAGCGACTGGATGGTTGAAATGGCCCGTCGATGTGCCACGTGCAACTTCAACATGGCTGTCCATGTTGGCACGAATGGAACCAGCTGTGACGTTACACATACGTTCCCATGTGCGGCTGCAGTCGTCCGCGTACTGACTACTGAATCGGACCAAGATTTTATTTAGTTGGCACAAGAATCAAAGCGTACGTCGCTGCGGCCCATAAGTGCTGCCGTCTAGTTAGGGACTGTCGTCCGCACCCAGTGTCCTGTCCAGAATCTGGCTGTCTTTGCGGCACGGACGCGACCCGTCAATCTGGTCAGGACCCACGTTTTCCCAGAATACAGTAGCGTGCACACCCAGTAAGATCTCCCTCTCGCCCGGTTCGCACTATTAAAATTGGTTGTTGTTGAAATGAGTCTTTCGAATTTTACGGATTAAGGGTCCTATTTCTAGGGTCGTCCGGCCTCCAACCTGATTTCCGGTAGGCACGAATTTCCGGCATAGGCCGTTTTAATCTTGCTTCTTCCTTGTGTTCCTTGTGGCACTTGCCGAGCGTGGCCTTATTATGGTGACCGTCTTCAGTGACATTATTAAAATAGGTTGTGATTACTTTTTGGCCCATGACGACCGACACACCGCCATGGCATCGAGCGGCATTGTGAAAGAGTGCGGTAGAAGCGCCCTGACTGCTCTCGACCTATCATACTTGCTATCATACCGTCGAGTTGGGACAATATGCGTGTACACTATCGTACTCTCTTCTACGAGCACTCATCGATGTTACACACTGCCCGGCACTCTTCCCGACGCTTTGTTGGGCTGGTGGAGGCATTGTCGATCTCCAGAGCAGTTTCATTATACATATGTCCATCGAACATGACAAATGTGTTCCACGCTCATTTGGGTCGTCGTGTGCGCTGCGAATCAGCTCGGGCTGCCCCGTCGTCGTTCTTGAAGCGCCAGCAGATGGTCCGCTGGATGGCGTCGTTTTGGGTGCTGCTTCTCACGTCGTACAACAACTGAGTCGTTCACTTTGCAGTTTGCCAGATCACGACGAGTAGTAGTATGAAGGTGCTGCATCTTCTCTCGCTGCTCTCGACGCTGGCTGCCGCCGTCGACTATGACGCGCAGGCCGAGGCCATCGTGGCCAAGATGACGACGGACGAGTGGATTGGTCAAATGACGCAGCTCGACCTCTCGTATATTATGGACGGAAACGGCAAGCTCAACGAGTCCAAGGTGCGCGAATGCGCCAAGCTCCGCGTCGGGTCTTTTCTCAACGGCCAAATGAACGTCACCGAGTGGCGCAGCTTGCTGGGTCGTATCCAAGACATCTTCAAGGAAGAAGGCGCGCCGCCGATGCTCTTTGGCCTCGACTCGATCCACGGCGCGAGCTACACCTTTGGCGCCGCGCTCTCGCCCCAGCAAACCAACAAGGGCTCATCGTTCAACCGCGACCTCGTGCGCAAGTCGGCGTATGTCACGGCGCGCGACTCGGCGGCGAGCGGCGTCAACTGGATCTTTGCGCCCAACGGCGACGTTGTTGTCCACAAGCGCTGGTCGCGCATCTTTGAGAGCTACGGCGAGGACCCGTACTTAGTCTCGGAGATGATTGCCGAGGCCGTCACGGGTATTCAGTCGGTGCCCGGTGTCGCGGCCAACTTCAAGCACTTTGTCGCGTATGGCGCCACGTCAACGGGCGACGACCGCGGGGGTGCCTTCCCGACCGAGTACCAGCTGCTCAACTACTACTCGCTACCGTTTCTCTCGGCAATCAACGCCGGTGCGCTCAGCGGTATGGCGAGCTACGAAGTCGTCAACAACGTGCCGATGGTGAGCAACCAAAAGCTCACGGTGGACCTGCTCCGAAAGGACATGAAGTTTGACGGGCTCCTTGTCACGGACTGGTTTGACATTTACAGCCTCATCGACCACAACGTCGGTGTCTCGACCCGCCAAGCGGCGATCGCGATGAGTCTCAACCAGGCTTCGATCGACATGAGTATGGTGCCGGACGATCCGGACTTCAT